GGCGAAGATCTTCTTCCCCGTATTATTAGCTGTCTTTCCATAATTAAAGTAACCACAGGCAAGAACTATTTTACACATGTGAAATGGTGACAGTAGGTACCGTTAGTGATATATAAACATGTACTTGTTGGCCCAGTCTCTACAGCATGGTTTGTAGCATACCAAACTGTGGAGCTAGAAGTCACATGGCAGCTGCAGTGTCACTGGTTTGGTTGGCCTGAAAACAGGTTGTGCATGTTCCCAGGATCCTGGCAAGCTAAAGGGCTGCAGGAAGAGAACTGTGGCATGACCAGGCCTGTGGAAGCTTCTCTCTCTCTCTTTCATGCATACACGTGCTCTATCTTGAATGACAATAGAAGCGCTAAACGTATGCATGTTGAATTTAATTTAGCCCATAGAAATTAAATCAGCTGGGGAATCCAAATTCTCCTTCCCTTTAAACCACTGGGGAATTCAGATTCTCCTTTCCTTTAAAGCACCGACTCAGGTTAGGTCCATCGCTTTGACATGACTCCCCTTGAAATGCCTTCAGGAAAAGGAAGCTGACTTCGCCCACCTCTTTAATTTCAGGAGTGGAGGAAGCATTCCTTTGGTTGAGTATACTTCTTCCCCCTTCAGTGACAATCCTCGTGGACTGAAAGTAACTTCTCTAAATCCAGGTGGGATGGAGGAAGGCCTCACGTGGGGCGATGCATGAAGGTGGAACTCGTGCAAACTTATCTACTCAGCCCTGGCTGTGACCAATACCAACTTTCTCTATTACTTCAAAAATATTAGATCCTGAATTAAAGCAACTTAGATACTTGCCATGAAAAGTAAAAACAGTGAGAAATAAAGACAGAACAAAGAACCCATAAACCACAATCTAGCAACAAGGGTTAAGGGAGGCAGAAAAGAAATGTGAGAGTAGGGCGTGCTCTGTTTTCACACCATGCTCCTGAGAGTCAGAGGCTTTTTCTTTCTTTCTTTCTTTGTTTTTCCTGATGAGTTTAACACCTTCACATAAGGAATATTAGACCTTTCCAAACTCAAAGCAGATTGCTTGTTCTAACATTCTAAAGTAGCTAAAGGAGGCCTATGAAGCCCCAACAGGACTCCGGAAGGCAACAGCTCAGTCTCGAAAACTGCTTTCTTATCCTCTCTGTTCTCGCTGATCTTTCTCTTTTAGAAATGCTATCTTATTCATGAGGTCAGCAGAGCAGAGGGGACTCTTGGTGCCTACAGAGCTGGGCTGCCTCTGTGCAGCCCCAGTGATGTCAACCTTGGTCCTTCCCGGTCTCGCTTTGACTCCGTGATACAGTAGCAGAGGAGCCAAAATCAGCGGGCTCAGCATGCTGTGCTGTGAGTGTTCGCATGACCCCCGCACCCCCGTGTTCTGTCTGTTTTTCTCTCCACTTGGGTTTGCTCACTAAGAGGGAAGCAAAAAATAGGATTTTATTGAGCAAAACCAAGGCTCCAAAATGACTGCCCATAAACTGTAGACAATAAACATAATGGGTGGCGTTTGGAGTTAGCTGCGACATTTCAAGATCCATTCATGGTCCTGCTTTAAACCCAGCGTGTTTGACACACAGTAAGGGTATAACTCCTTCTGCATTTCTCAGGCTATTTAGCAGGAGTTACGGTACATACTTGGTAGTGAGAAATAGCAACATTAGTTTCTGAGAGAGACCGCAAAAGAAAACCTGCATTTATAGTGGTTGTTAAAAACTGTTTAAATTCTTAGTAATCAATTGTTGGATAATTGAACCACAACCCACAGTTCGATTAAACTAGGTCAAATTGAAGTTTATATTACTTGACTTTTTGCAAAGTGGGCTGGTGTGGCAAGGAACCACCACAGCAATGCTGCTAAACTGAACGCAGAGAGACTACCATATTCCTTCTTCAGGCGCTACTGGTGATACAACTTTCTGCCCTGACTGTACATTAGGAAGCAAGTAAGTCAATGAGGTGACTCAGTATCACTTGAAACTCTACAGATCCAAGAGCTATGCCCACATTTGTTGAGTCACTTAGTCTTTCTTCGCCTCGGTTTCTCATCTAAAAATCTACCTCACAGGGATGTTGTAAAGATTAATACATCTAACTCTTGATAGAGAATCAAGCACATAGTAAGGAAGTAAATAAACTGTGATTATGATTTGATCCTAGGAAATTGTCACCGTCTCTATTTTGCTGGGGAGGAAAGGAAGCTGAAATGCTCAAGGTGATTTGCTAAGGGCATAAAGAAAATGACAGTAAATGACTCCATGAGGTCCAATGAGGGTGCCCCCAATGTTCTTTCCTCCAGCTTCCCCAGTATGTGGCCTACCCAAGGCAAGAACACCGATGGAGGGAACCTACAGAGGTGAGAACCCTGATTACCGTATTGTGAGCGAGGCACATGAGAGTTGAGACTAATAGGTTCATCAGGTCAGCAAAGTTCCATCAGACTGGGGGCCAGATGGTTGTGTAGCAGTAATGGAACTGGAACCACATGGGCACTTGCTGGGCTCATGTCCCACGGCCCTGTGCATGCTGGGTATGTGCACCCATGATCTGGATTGACTGAAGCTGGGGGTAGATTGTGGCATAAGGACTCGGAAGGTGCCGGGGTCCAGCCTTGGCGTGGGTGGGTTATCTCGACGAAGGCGGCGAAGGTGAACAGAAGACAGAGGCCTCGATGCCTTTCATGCACGTCCTATGCCGGACACCCCTCAGAGATCGCTCTCTAAGGAGTGACGACTGCTAGGAATCATCGTGCCTTTTTATTGAAAATGTGTTACATACAAGTAAATGGGAGAGGGGCTACGTGTTTCAATTATCAGCTCATAAAGTCTTTTAACAATAAAGAACAACCCTCTATTGTGACCATGGAGATAAAGCATTGTAATTAATAGTAAGTGATCAGATCAGAGCAAAGGGGAGCAGGACTTCCTGGAAGATTTTATCATATACTCAGGATGTATAGGAGAGCTATGCAATTCTTTCATAGTAGTAAATTGGGGAGTCAGAGGGGGGTCGCTTCCCAGTGAGGCTGCCTCAATTCTCTGGAGCAAATAGCAAGCAGCCTTGCTGACATGCTAACTGACCCAAGCTTTGTTCCAAGGTCGGGGGGTGTACAACAGTAGCCTTGCCAACGTGTTGATCCGACCGGAAGCGAAGCTCAAAGGTCAGGGGGCTCAGACAGATCCTGGGGCCTCACCGGGTCGGACTCCTCCAGGAAGGGAATTCTCTGTCTTTGTCTGCCAGTCTATATATTTCTCTTTGTTTTACTTATAGAAGAAATAAATACACTAAAATTAAATTTTAAAAAAGAATTGATCAAATTAGAACAAGTCCCAAGAGGTAAGCCTGGGTGGATTCAGGAAAGTGAGATGGAGGGCAGCGTGTGCCGAGATGCTGGCTGTGCAGGACTGTGCAAAAGGCGTGTGAGCATGGCAAGAGGGTGGGGGAAGTGGGGTCGAAAGTGGGAGAGCCAGAAAATCATGGAGAAACGAGACAAGGCATGCAGAGACGCAGTTCACTCTGAGTTATTTTGACAAGGAACGTATTTCTCTAGTTGGAGTTTGAAAACCAAGGAACCATGACATGGTTCTTGTGGTTTGGTGAATATTATTTTTCTTGAAGAGAAGCCCGTATCTTACTCAGCTTTAAGAAATGCTAAATGAAGTTCATCTCTGGTTCTGATAGCTTCCTGGGTTCTGTGCCTTAGTGGTATACAGACTTCAGAACCACTCTGTAAATGAATCCCTCCCGTGGCACAGAATGGAACCATTTGGTATTAGTTAGTGCTGGTATCATTTGTTTGAACTGATTAGCACTGTACGACTCAGATATCATTCTGGAAGTGTTTTTTGAGTGCCTCAGATGTAGTGATACACATTCGTATGTGGAAAAAGTTACATCTAAAAATAACCCAAACACCCTAAATCAGAGTATGTAATAATTGAATTATTTCATGAAGGTAGCATTGCCAATATTGCCCATTTATTAATATCTGAAGGTTGCTTTCATTTTGGTTTTAAAGTCAGTAATTTTTCTTTCAGTTAGTTTGACTCAGTAACACACGCTGCTTCCAATGCAACACTGGAGAAGATGATGAAGAAGCCCAGGGTCTGCAGGGACCACCAGATGGCAAGAGACCACAATTCTGAATGACTGACAGCATGGGGGAGAGCTGCTCACTTGCCTAGGAACTCTTAGGATAACAAAAATTGAACTTCTAATGTGTTAAGATTCTACCTTCTAAAACTCTCCAAATCTAATCATTCTGATGGAACAAATGGTTTATTCTGACACTGATCCATCTGAGTTCTTAGCCAGAGCAGAATACTTTCATCTTAAAGCAACAGTACTGTTAAAACATTTGGTCCTATTGACTAAGTGCCAAGAGTGGTTCTAATGATTTTAAACATATTATCTCTTTTCAGTCTCTCAAGAATCTTAGGCTGTAACATGTTTTTAATCTTCATTTAAAAGAAGGAACTGAGGTTAAGTAATGCCCAGGGAGAGGAAGTATTTACCCCAAGGTTAGACAACTGTCAAATGGCCAAATTTGGAATGTAGACTATTTTGATCCAAAAGATATCATTTTAGGCCAATTGTTGGCATAACGATTAAGGTGCTAGATTCCATATAGCTGACTGTGAGGTTCGAGTCCCAGACCAGTGACTTGATAAACACACTGGGCACATGTGCGTGCATGCCCAAAATCCTGAAAGGAGTGAGCAATGGAAGGGAAGGGATTGCAATGCCCCATTGGGGATGCTTTCTTTCTTTCCCTCTCTCTGTCTCTATCTGATGAGCGCAAATGCCCTCTGGCAATTTTTAAAAAGTATATATATATATATATATTAAAGCAGGAAGAAAGTGAATGCAGTCCCCCACTACTACAAATTATGCTACTGTAAATGCCCTTTGGCAATTTTAAAAAAATGTTTTATATATTTATTTATATGTTTTTTATAAAAGTTATATTTTTTATAAAAGTTATATCTGTACCTCTATCTATTAAACAGAGGAAAGAATGAATTCAGTCCCCCACTGCCACATATTATGCTGACCCCTGTGATTTCCCGGCGAATTGCAGGGGTCAGCACATCTGAAGTGCAATGGACAAGCCTGGCCCTGGGAAACCCACCTCTGTGGTCATGGTATCTCCCTGCCAGGTAAGTATAACAGCTGTATTTTCAGTTGTGAACTCTCAAGCATGCGTCAGCTGTATATAAAATTCACAGGGTATACTTAGAACAGGGACTGCCTCCTGCTCACAGAGATATCCTTCCTTTTCTTACTGACACTACGGCGAGACGGTATTTCCCTCTCTCTCTTCTAGGGAGGCATCTACAGTCTCCTGAACAGAATAAAGAAGAGGGAGAATGTGTGCTACCTTCCCTCTGGCTCATTGTAACTTCCCGCATATGCCCCTCCATGCTATTTCTCCTTCTGTTAAACTAATGCAAATGGCAAGAGCGTATGGCAGAGCCACAGGTGGGAAGGCTCTGGTTTTCAGAAGGACTGAAAGAAGAGCTCTCCTACCAACCTCACTCTCAACTATTTTATGAGCAAGAAATTCATTTTTATCATGTTAGTCTACAGACTCTTTAGCATCTATTTGTTACTACAGCTCACCTTTAACTAATACAAAGAATTTTTAAAGTATCATTTCCTAGTCTGTTCTGCAGACCTCCTAACTCTGAATCTCCGGGATAAAGCCTACCTACCTCTAAGTTCTAAAAGTTCTTCTATGTGATTCTGATGTATCTGTCTTTAGCAATAGTTCACTTTAATTTCCAAATGACGTTTTTCTTTATCCACCTAAGTCTTTCTAGTTGGATATCTTAGAAAAAAGTTTTCCCATTCCCAGTTTGGTTAAATTAAAACAAACAAACAAATAAACAAACAAAAACACTAGCCCAATAATTTTTGCTAATTCTGAAAAAGCTCTTCATTTCTTTAAAATTCAATTTGTTTGACTCAGAGAATTAATAGTGTATCTTCTCAGGACCAGTAGATGGCATACTGGTTAAGTCGCTAGACTCCCACACAGTCAACCGCAATTCAAGTCCTGGACCCAGTGGTTTAAAACACATGCTGGGAGTGAGTGTGTGTTTGTGCCCAGAATCCCAAGAGAATAGAGGAAAAAGGATTGCAGCATGGCCATCCCCACTAGGGGGTGATTTCCGGCTTTTTGTTTCTCTGTCTTTCTCTCTCCTCTCTCTGATTCTCTGGCAAATGCACACTCCCTATAGCAAAAATCTCTCTTAAAAAGAAAAAAAAGAATGTATCTTCTCATAATCAAGATCCAAGTCATCTACTTCCTTTCTTTCCTACCCTCCCTCCTGCTATCCCCTTTTCTCTCCCTGCTCCTTTCCCTCCTTTCCTTCTTTTCTCTTTCTATTTATCGATCTTTGTCTACCACTAGTAAATAGCTTTTCCTAAAGTATTTTCATTTTACTTTATGAATATAGAGGTTTTGCATTGTGAAATACTTGGGAAATAATATGTAGCAAATATACCATGTGGTTTCAGAGGTTTTAGTGATTACTTTGGAACTGTGACTGGTCTCTAAATATTGGGGAAGGAGAAACAGTTAGATTGCCAAGTATGATGAGGCCTCCACCAGGTGTGTTTTTTTTTTTTTTTTTTTTTGGTTTTGCCATAGGGTGTGTGTATTGCCAGAGGAGGCAGACAGGGAAAGTGAGATTCCCCTCACCACACTCCTGTCAATTCCTTCTCCTCCATTCTCCTCTCAGGATTTTGGGCATGCTCACACATGCGCCTACGTTGATTTTCAAGCTTCCTGTTTCAAGACTCGAACTATGGTTGTCCATGTGGGAATCCAGCACCATAGTCACCATGCCACCTGCATTATTTTATCCATTGTTTAATTATTTTCTAATTGGAATTCATTATTGAAACAATATAGTTATAAGTTTGACCTCTTTTTCAATTGTGCGTTTGAGTGTTTAGGATAGGCTAACACTCTTATTTGTTAAGGGGGTATACGAAGAAACCCTTTCATATACCTATAGTCAGCAATAGCTAGTAGAGTAATGTCATAGAAGGATGAGATTTTGTGTGTTTACTGTGTGCCAGGTGCCCATCTAGGGACTCTGCAGAAATTAAGTCCTTTAATCTTCATTTCGAAAATCAGAACAGCATACTCTTGAATTTCTGTTAGTTTTTGTTTGTTTGTTTGTGCTTTTATTTTTGTTTTTATTGTTGTTGTTGTTTCCTGGGGCAGAAACCAGGCTTGGCTGAATAGGCAGGGTCCTCTGTTCAGAATCTCAACAGGCACTGACCAGGGCTGGGCCCTCATCTGAATTTCAAAGTTCTCATTCAGGCTTACGTTGGCAGAATTCATTTCCTTGCAGCTGTAGGACCATAGCTGCTTGCTTCTTCAGCAAGAGATTCTCTTTCATACCCCAGTGAAGTCCGAGATCCTATTTTAGAAGTTTTCCAACTGATTAAGGTCCATCAGGATGATGTCTCTTTTGATGACTTTCCAAGTCATCAACTTTCCAAGCTGTAATTGAGATCTTAATTACAGCTATAAAATCCCTTCTCTCTTGCCATATACTGTAACCTAATCGTAGAAGTAACACCAGGGCAGAGATTATAGGTTCGTCTTGGAATTCTCCCAGACAATTGCAAAATTCTTTTTCTAAGAATGAGGAAGAGGAATAAATATTACTATACTTAGATAATGAGTTGATATTTCCATGAGGACTTAACTCATCAATCTTAGCTTACAAAAATATCAACCTTTTTTTTGTAAGTGTACACATTAACTTTTTCTTTTTAACTTTTTTTCTAGAACTCTTCTTACATGAAGGAAGTTGATGGCATCAATGAGTTAATTTCTTAGAATTATTTTGTAAGTTTTCTCTGTTTATTAGTTTTCTGGAGCATTTCTTATAACCACCCAGTCATTTTTGTCCTATGACCACATATGAAGTAAAAATCTAACTCTGGTGTGACAAATCAAGATCCTTCATACACTAACTCAAAATATCATGTTGCTCTTGTCATTGTCACTGACTTCTCTCAGAGTTTTATCCTCAATTCCTTTCATGCCACTGCATAATGTGCTATAATGTACTATAAAATGCTTAATTTTATCTAGAATATCCTTTATACCCCTCATACATCCCCACACTAACTTGCTGGTGAATTAACTGGTTCTTTGAAAGTCAAAGTCATCTCATCTCTTCTATTAAACTTTCCCCCAGTTTTCAAGATAAAAGATAAGGAGAGAAACTACAGAAAAGGGATTTGAGTTTTAGGTTCAGCTGCATGGAAAAAATTGGGAATAATATTGATTTGAACCTACCCCCCCCCCCTTAAAAAGCCTGTGGATTGGAAGAATGAACGTAATCAAAATGTTAATTCTGATTTATAAATTTAATCCAATGCCAATCAAATTACTAAGACATTCTTCACAGAATTAGAAAACATAATCATCAAACTTGTCTGAATAATAAAAGGCCCTGTATCATCAAACCAATATTGTGAAAAAGAATAAAGTAAGAGGTATCTCACTAGCTGATTCAAAAATATATTACAAAGCTATGATAGTCAAAACAGCATGGTACTGGCACAAAAATAGGCATGTAGGCCAATAGAATGAAATAGCAAACCCAGAAATGAACCCCAAAACATATAGCCAACTGATTTTTGACAAAAGGCACAAGTCTATCCAGTGGAAAAAAGAAAAACTCTTCAGCAAATGTGCTGGAAAAACTGGTATATTCACCTGCAGAAAAATGAAACTTGATCCCTATCTCTCACTATTAACAAAAATCAACTCAAAATAGATCAAAGACCTAAACTTAATGCCTTAAACTATGATACTACTGGTGGAAACACAGCAGGAACTCTTGGAGAGTTCCAACTCTGGAGTTAGCAAAAGCTTTAAGACCTTAACAGACAAGAGGGATTATATCAGGTTATTTCTTCTGCACAACAAAAGAAACAATAATTGGAGTGAAGAGACAACCCTTGGAATAGGAAAATATACTTGCAAACTACACCTCAGATAAGGACTGATAACCAGAATATACAGGGAACTCAAGCAGTTTACTTGGCAAAAAAAAAAAAAAAAAAAAATTGATCCAATTAAAAGATGAGCAAATGTGGGACCAGCAGTTAGCATAATGGCTATATCGCTGGACTCCCATGTAGTTGAACGTGGTTCGAGTCCTCGACCGGGGGGCTTAAACTCACACCAGGCACGTGTGCATGCGTGCCCAAGAGGAGAATGGAGGAGAAAGGATTGTGGTGTGGCCGTCCACTCCGGGGGTTGATTTCTCACTTTTTGTCTCTCCCTGTCTCTGTCTGTCTCTCTCTGCCTTTCTGGTGAACACACGCACCCTATAGCAAAAACCTCTCAGAAAAAAAAGATGAGCAAATGAGCTAAACAGACAACTTTCCAAGGATGTCATAGAAATGGCCAAAAAGCTTTCAAAAAAATGCTCAACATCCTTATCTTAAAGGAAATGCAAATCAAAATCACAGAGCTATCATCTAACCCCAGTCAAAATGGCTAAAACAAACAAACAAACAACAAAGATAAGTGCTGGTGAGGCTGTGGTGAAAAAGGAACCCTCCTGCACTGTTGGTGGGAATATAAATTAGTACAATCACTGTGGAGAACAATATGGAGATCTCTCCAAAACCTACAAGTAGAACTACCATATGATCCCATAATTCCAATCCTGGGTATCTACCCAAAGGATAGAAATACACTCAGTTGAAAAGTACTTGCCCCATTGTTTATTGCAACATTATTCACAATTGCTAAAACATAGAATCAACTCAAATGTACTAGAACATATGAATGGATTGAATGCATGTGGCACATATAAACTATGGAATACTACTCAGCCATAGAAAAAAATGAGACCCTGGCATTTGATTGCAAGTGGATGAATATAAAAGATTTGATGATGAGTGAAACAACACAGACTATAAAAGAGAAGCATTGTATATCCCTACTTAATATATACCAAATGTTTGCACTGTGTGACAGACTTAAAGATTGGAAGGCATAAAGGCATGGAGAGCAACTGTGGGTAGGAGAGACAGTGTGGAAGGAGGGTGGCCAGAGAGGGGAATGGGAGGAGGAATCAAAGAGAAAAAGAAAAGAAGCAAAATATTGAATGAACATGAGAA